TTCCTCCAGCTGGACCTTTAACTCCTTCAATTCTGCAGGAGCCATACGGTATGGTGCTTTGGAAACGGGTCCGGTGCCAGGAACAAGGTCAATAGCAAATTCAACCTCTCTATCCGGAGGTAAACCTGGGAGATCCTTCGGAAATACATCCGGAAACTCACGCACCACCGGTATGTCTTCTAGTCTCGATGTCACACTACTAGTATCAGTAACAGAGACTAGGAAGCCCTGGCAACCATTTACAAGATATTTCTGAGCCTGCAAGGCAGATACTAACATGGGTAGAGCAAAAGAACCACTGCCTTGAAAACTAAATTCTGGCTCACCAAGAATATTAAAATTTACCCATTTCCGATGACAGTCTATAGAGGCAAAGTGTTTAGACAGCCAATCCATCCCCAAAATGATATCAAAATCGGAGATGTCTAAAACAAACAAACTAGCACTCAACTGTCTACCATCAACATAAATATCCACGGTCCTACACACCTCCCTAGTAGTCATCACCCCTCCTAAAGGGGTGTCCACATGCAGTTCACAATCAGAGATATCAACAGGCAAAGCTCGTTTCAAAACATAGGATCGAGCAATAAAAGAATGCGATGCACCCGAATCAAATAAAACATGCGCATAATCAGAGTTAACAGGCAAGGTACCCGTGATTACGTCGGTAGCCGCAGCTTCCTTGTGAGTCATCACTTGCACTCTCGCCTGCTGGGCTCTTGTCCGAACCCCAGTACTCTGTTTCTGCGCCCCTTGACTGGTAGAACTCTGCGGAGTGGTAGGTTGAGTACTCTGAGCTTTAGGATCTAGCAGTGGACAATTTGCAATCCGATGTCCCTGCTTGCCACATTTGAAGCAAGCCCTAGTAGCAATGTGGCATTGATCCCGGGTGTGCCCGACCTGCCCACAAACGTGGCAAGTAAGCTGAGTAGGACGAGCACGTTGGGCCATTGATGGTTTATAGACTATTAATCAAATGCTCCAACGAGTAATTTCTCGGCAAGTTTCCACTTCCGAGACCAAGCAACACAAAAATATCAAAACAAAAGAAACCAACACACATTAACGAAGGAATCAGACAAGCGCCCTTAATCAACCCCACTCTCACACCTCACCACGTTCCTATCATTTCCTTGCTAGCCAAGTTCTAGACTAATCCTAGGCTCTTAATTAAACCTAGGCTCTGATACCACAAAATCTGTCACGCCCCAAAACCCAAATTCGGGGACGTGGCAGACGCCGTGCACTTGTGAGGAGGTCCCACAAATGCACAAGGCTCGGAACTTACTAAGTTCATATCACTAACTCAGATTTAGA